TGCTCTGAAACAGCCTGAAATAAAATGTCTTTGCATTGACTTACATTAACAGTAAAGTAAGTTTTTGCCCTCTCCTGTGAAGCTGCCATTTTGGATATCCTTGTTTTTGTTTGGGTTAGGGATGATATTTAGCCTATCACTATCTCAATCTTGGATTTTTGTGAATACCGATAACTAACTCTGTCTTACATACGTACTGGATAGGTGCCTATATATTCCTGATTTGTGCACAGTTCCACTTTTCGAATAAGCAACGCTTTCTAACTCAAATAAAACACAAAAATACATCACATATATAATATTTTACATATCACAGTATATCATTCTAGGAATTTTTTGAGGACTTGATTGTGTGTGTGTATATATATATATATATATATATATATATATATATATATATATATATATATATATATATATATATATATATATATATACACAAGGAAAAAACTTACTATACTTTTAATGTAAGTCAATGGAACCAGACGTTTTTCCAAGTAATTTTGGGCTGTTTCTTTTGGTCCATTCATCAAGAAATTTACACACAATGTTAGGGTCAACAGGCATTTTCAAATTATGTAAAAAACTGAAAAATCAATTGCAAGGTTTTGTTTCAACAGCAGCACTATATATATATATATATATATATATATATTTATGTTTACGTGTGTGTGCCTGACAACGTCATTATTATATATTACTAAATTGACTAAAGTCAATTAAAATGTAAAAACAGAACTAAACAATATACATAAAAAAGCAAAAAAATTTGGTGTTAAATATTTTGTTTTTAAAGTACATAATTTAAATGCAAATTTTAGTGATCAATCTCTGATTATTTGCTATGTTTAACATTTTAGAAAAACGTAAAATATAAAACATGCGATAACTTTTATACAGGCCTTATTTTATGTTTTGTTTTTTCCTAATATGTTTGTTCACCAAAAAAACAACAGTTGTGCATTAAAATGTGCAGACGTGTCTTCCCTGTAGAGCATGTTGTTAACTTATTTTATCCATCCATCCATCCATCCATCATCTAAACCGCTCATCCTTCTGGGTCGCGGTGGGGTGCTGGAGCCCATCCCAGCCGTCACTGGGCGGAAGGCAGGACACACCCTGGACAGGTCGCCAGTCCATCGCAGGGCAGACAGACAGACATACACAGTCACACACACACCTAGGGGCAATTTAGCACATCCAATCAGCCTGACTGCATGTTTTTGGACTGTGGGAGGAAACCGGAGTACCCGGAGGAAACCCACGCAGACACGGGGAGAACAGGCAAACTCCACACAGAAAGGACCCTGGTCACCCAGCCGGGAATCGAACCCAGGCCATTCTTGCTGTGAGGCCACAGTGCTACCCACTGCGCCACCGTGCCGCCCCAACTTATTTTAATTTTAATAAAAAAAAAATCAAGAATCAATCAAAGATGCTGCAAAGTGCTCATTTAGGCACAACTGGAACTGATTTTCAATGCATCCTGATTGGTCCTTTAAATTGTCCACCTATTAAAGGACACTTCACTCGTTTTTAATACCGAAATAGATTTCCAGACTGCACCAAAGCCCATTTGGACCCCCACTGTCTTTCCCTATTTGTTTACTTAATTATTGTTTTAATTTCACTCTACGGACACATTAATTTCCTTCTGAGTCATTTATACAGATTCTCTTCACAGGTCTAAAGCTGCTATCTGGACTCTCTGTCGTTTAATTACTCGTTTCCTGGGTCTGTTTGTACTTTCCACTCATTCACTGCTGTAATGGAGATGCTTAATTAGCGCTGATGATCCACAGCTGACCCCTCTGGGGGGCTCCAGCTTAGCGTATGCATGGACCAGTGTATGAAACAGCCTCTTTCTATCAAAGCCGTGTGGGTGGGTGTGCTGTGTCTGTGCGGGGGGCCGTGCTCTCAGCGGGCTGATGCTGATTAAGTGGCCCTTAGTTGGCTGTGTGTACAATGATGGAAAGGCTCACACAGTGAGGCTCTCCATCCTTCGATTGGCCTGTTTCTGCTCTCCTCGTCAGCCTAACTGTTGTTTTCTGTCTGATGAATTGCGTGAGGTGCTGCAACATTTGCCAGACTTGCTTCTCATTGAGTCTCCTGAAAGTTCCTCTTGTTTACTTATAATGCTGGATTGTTTACTTTCATTTTATAATGTGCTGTCTTGGTTGGCAATGCTGCTACAGCCTCAGACTCAAGCTTGGTTCCCTAGAGAACCTTTTAACAGAGGATTCTTTAAAGAACTATTATTGTAAATGAGATTTTTGAGTGCAGAGACCATGTTTAACCTTTTTAACATGAATTCTGTTAATTCTGTTAAAATGAACATTCAATACAACTTCAGGAAACTTCAGGAAACAAAAACTAAAACATATATTTAACTTAAAATGACACAAAAGCCTCAACAGCTAAATATAACCACATTTCCACTACTTACTGTGTCCAATTTTTAAAAGTTGGTTGATTTTCTGAAGTAATCAAACACATTCAGTGGTGTTGAGGTCTGGACTCTGGGGTGGTCAGTCCATTGTTCAGCTTCTTTGTTTGATGTGTCCGTCTCCTTTTCTCAGTGAGGTTCTTCTTGATCAGCTACACATCCTTTCAGACCCACAGCGCTGAGTCGTCTTCTCACAGTGGAAGGATGGACAGAAACACCTGTGGATGTTTTCAGATCTGAAGCAGCTTGATTTTTTCCTCTCTCTCAGAGATGAAAGCTTCAAGTGCTGTTTATCTGACGGGGGCAGTTTTGGGGTCGACCAGGTCTTCCAGGTGGTTGTTAGGAGCCACATTTTCTCTGTAGCTTTTAGTAATTTTTTGAACTCCAGTTTTGGAAACACCTGTTTTTCCCCCACTTATTTTAATTTGACTTTCTCCTTCCTTCTTCCTTCCCTCTGGGGTCTATGAACTCTCCTGCATATCAGATTCTCTGTTTCTATATCTGTGTCTCTCTCTTTGAGATAATCCAGCTCAGAAATCCAGTTCAAACACTTCCTGAATCTGTAGAGTCGCCCTTTCCATTCCATCTTATCTTGAGATCATACATGACTCACATCCGGAGTTATGAGCCTATGAAGAGGGGCTGAGATACACGTCATCTGCCTCTCACCATGTGGAACTGGTGGTTTCATGTGTCTGTCTACATTGTGTGAAACTGACCAATAGACACTCAGGAAATCACTAAGCACTGACCCTCACGCCGGAAAACCTTCATTCTTCATTCAGTCCACATCGGAGACTCATGTGAAATGGCCTGCAGAGAGTTTACAGCTGCTGAAGTTGCAGCAGCGGTTTTGGAAAGTAGTGATGAAGAAAATGGAGCATTTAGATATGAAACATATGAGGATCATGTTATATGAAGAGCCTTTAAAGGAGGGTTTAAGAAGACATGAACAAATTGAGGAAATGACCTCAGACCACAGAGGGTTAACCCTTTAATATCCCAGGCTTATAACATACTAAGTCTTATTATTCAGTACCTACAGGGACTTCAGTACATTAGTTCATTTGTCATACATCATTCAGCATCTTTAACCACTTAATCTAGATAGGGTAGTGGTGGCAGTTGGGAGAGCAGAGAATTCCAGACAACCCTGTCCCCCGCAACTTCCTCCAGCTCATTCCAGGGGACCCAGAGCTCCTACCAGGCCAACCTGGAGATATAATCCCTCCAGCAAGTCCTAGGACGACCTCAGGGTCTCGTCCCACTAGGCTGTGCCTGGTAAACCTCACCGGGAGGTGTCCAGGGGGCATCCTGATCAGATGCCCGAACCACCTCAAATGGCTCCTCTCAATGAGGAGGAGTAGCTGCTCTACGCTGAGCTCCTCCCAGATGACGGAGCTCCTCACCCTGTCAAGTAGAGTGCAGCCACCACCCTGCGAAGAAAGCTCATTTCCGCCGCTTATATTCGCAATCTCATTCTTTTGGTCATTACCCAAAGCTCATGACCACAGGTGAGGGTTGAAATGTAGGCTCACTGGTAAACAGAGAGCTTCGCCTTATGGCTCAGCTCCCTCTTCACCACTACAGTCCAGCAGATGATCTCACCATCCCTCTTCCCATAACTCGACAACAAGACAACTCCTCCACCTGGGGCAGGTACTCTCCCCTTACCTGGAGTGGGCATGCCATCCTTTTCCAGGCTGGGAACAATTAACTGGGGTTAAATCACACAGAAATCATTAATAAGGCAAATTCAAACTTTTGAATGGTGGTGTTTATTGTAAAAATTCTGTTTTAGCAATAATCTTTAAATAAAATGCTGTTTTCCAAAGCTATAAAAAGACTGAAGACTGCATTTGCACTGCACATTGCTTCTAGTTATCTGGATGCAAATTTGCTCTTGTAGAGAAAAGAACTGAGCCTATATGTCTAAATTACGTGGGAATGCAGCCTGACTTACTTATTAATGCACCTTCTGAAAGTTTGGATTTGTACAGTGCAGCTCCAGATCGGCTAGTTAACTCAGTCTTTTCTACTGTCTTATAGTCCTCATTATGTTTCTTCATAATTCATCCCCAGTGAGTTTGCACATCCTCCACAGCAGGTTTACTGTATAGGGTTTTCTTTAATCAATGAAACCATTCAGAGAGTCATCATTCTTGTCATGCTTTGAAAATGTAACTGTGACATGATACAGTACGAGCGTTTTGCTGCATTAATTTTGAATGCTGCTTATCAGTGCAGTGACAGATATAACTGGCAGGGTGATACATTATGCAAGGCTTTCTTGACAGCTGATTACGGCCAGATGAAACGAGGCAAAGTTTTTTGAAGAGCTTTTGGTCCCACATTCAAAACAACTTTGACTGAGCCCGACTGTTCCGTCCAGCAGCAACTCTAGCTATCCAATCACGAGCCATCCTTCAGTAGAGCCATCGACAGGTTCTCAGAAATAATTCTATTAGGTAATCAATGAGTGTGATGTTGGGTCAGCATCACAGAAGCTGATTATCTGCCTTTTCGTCAATAATGTTAAACCTCTGTTTTGCAGTTTGCCAGCAATACATCATCCACTGTGGATAAGGCAGACGGGAGAGCAGCTTCGGGACGAGAATCAGCCCAGAGAGAGACGTTTCCCTCTGAGAAACCGAGACATTCTGCATCAAGCCCAGCATTTTTGATTGCTCCGACCATGAACAGCGCTCCACCACTGAGAGAAGGCTCTCTGCAAGGTCTTCCCACCTCTTTAAAGCCCATCCAGGTGAAAATGGAAACCCCAGAGACTCACATTTAAGTGTTCACACAGAGCGGGCGAGAGAGAAGAGGGGGGGCTGTGAAAGTAACATTTAACAAGGTGACCTCTAACATTCTGAAACTGAGTGCTGAAATCTTCAGAGATGTTGAGGGTGTGGAAGCATGAGGCCGTTTCTGCTCCGCTTTGCGTTTATCATTAAGATCTATTCAGACATGAAAAGAAATTACTCAAATACTCTTTAATTTATTCCTGCTGCAGCTAAGATGAGTATGTTTATCTGGTCCCACTTTATTTGGATAACTACCTGTAGTTTAGATGTTAGGCCTGTCAAACAATTAAAACAATTAATCGCGATTAATCGCATTGCTTTGTGTAGTTACTGTGATTATTCATAATTGGATGTTAGTGTTGCCAAACAAGTAAAATAATTAATCGCGATTAATCACATTACTTTGTGTAGTTACTGTGATTATTCATAATTGGATGTTAGTGTTGCCAAACAAGTAAAATAATTAATCGCGATTAATCGCATTACTTTGTGTAGTTACTGTGATTATTCATAATTGGATGTTAGTGTTGCCAAACAAGTAAAATAATTAATCAGGCACTGTCAAACAATTAAAACACTTAATCACGATTCATTGCATTACTTTGTTTAGTTATTAATGATTAATCATGACTAAATGTCAGCTTTGTCAAACATCATGTGATTAATCATCATTAGATGTCAAGGTTGTCAAACAATAAAAATAAACACAATTAATTGCATTACTTTGTGTAGTTATTTGTGATGAATCATGATTAAATGTCAGGGTTGTCAAACATTAATATAATCAATCATAATTAATCACATTACTTTGTATATGTATTTGTGGTTAATCATGATTAGGTGTCAGTGTTGTCAAACAGTTAAAATAATTAATCATGATTAATTGCACTACTTTGTTTAGTTATTCATGATTAATCATGATTAAATATCAGCATTGTCAAACAGTTAAAATAATCAATTGTAATTAATCGCATTACTTTGCATAGTTACTGTGATTATTCATGATTAGATGTCAGCATTGCCAAACAAGTACAATAATTATTCATGATTAATTGCATTACTTTGTGTAGTTATTCATAATTAATCATAATTAGATAACAGTTGTCAAACAATTAAAATAATTAGTCACAATTAATCACATTACATTGTTTAGTTATTTGTAATTAATAAAGATAAGATATCAGCATTATCAAACAATTAAAAAAATTAATTGCGATTAATCGCATTACTTTGTGTAGTTATTTGTGATTAATCATGATCAGTTGTCAGGTTTGTCAAACAATTAAAATAATTAATCATGATTAATTATTTTACTCTGTGTAGTTAAAAACGTATAATTGCATTTTGTCTTATTTGGTCAAATTTGACCCCAAAGAAAGATTTTTTTCGCATTTAAATTGCAGAACAGTCGCCAGAATGTAACTGCTGCACTATTTAAGATAGAATGGCCAGTTTGAATAAGAAGTTGGTGAACAGGAAGTTAACTTTAGCTTTGAACTATGATCGGTTGTAAGCATCAATATAGGAAAACACATTACCGGCTTTAAAAATAGTGCTGTTAATAATTTATGTTATCACATTAATAAAGCATTAGATATAACCCCATCAATAGATGCTCAAACTGTTAACAAGCTCTTTGTTGATTATCAACAGTGTTAGGGTCAGGATTAGGATTAGTACAGAGGTCAGGGTTAGGTTTTGAGGTTAGGGTTATGAAGCATTAAGGGGAATTTAACAGATATTCAGTTGAATGTAAATAAACTGCAGTGTGAGTATCTACAGTGGGCTTTCTGAATAAAGTGCTACTGATGATTCTGCTGTAGCCCTAACATTGCTTTATCACTGCATCTTAATAATGGACATCTTTAATGTAACCTGTCTTTAGAGTTTGATCCAGTCTACAATAAAGGTGTGTGATATTCATCTCCCTTTTAAAAGGCTGTTATGTTGTAATGCTTATTTCTCCATGAAGGACGAGTTCATAACGATCACCAGACTGAACTCTTTCACTGATGATGTGTTGTCTTTTGTAACTGTTTGTGCTTTGAAGGAATAATAAAGAAATGGATATCAACTTAACAAACGAATGCTCAAGTGTTCAAATTATTTGGGCCAGCCCTATTAAAGGGGAAGTCCACTGATTTTTCAAAATTTCTTAACTCAATTCTTGAAGTGTAAACAGAGTGATTCAGAGTTGGTTTGGTGTGAAATGGTTCAGATGTCTCCACAGTGGTGGTGATAGGAACCAGGGGATCGCCATGACTACAACACAAATATAGACATTTTGTTTACTGTCCAAAACCACCAGTGAACCTACACGTGAGTTTTATATGGAATGTTGATGATGGGAAAATAGTGGAAATTCTGTTGTCTGTAGAAAACCTCGTATCCCCAACATGCTAACTTTACAGGAGAAGGAAAAAACATACTCTACTTTTAATGTAAGTCAATGGAACCAGACATTTTTCGTCATTTTGGGTCATTTTTTTTGGTCCATTCATCATGAAATGTACACACAATGTAAAGGACAGCAGGCATTTTCAAATTACGTCAAAAACTGAAAAACGACAAAAATGGAGATACAAGGTTTTGTTCCGACAGCAGCGATAAGTTTTCTCTAGGGACTATTTCGCTTTACAACACACTGCAAGTATCCCTCCACCATGAAAAGGTTAAAAATATATATATTTAGCCCAAAAACACATCTGAAAACTATCGTAAATCAATATCTCAGACATCAGGCAGCGTATTTATAAGCATTTTGTGTTACAACTCCCTGTAAGGGAGCTTTAGAGGTGGACGTCTGGTTCCTATCACCACCACTGTGAACAATTTTGACTCCAGAACAGAGCAGAGTTTGCGAAATGTCTTCCCCCAATGCTCTCCTAATACCCCCTCAATGCCACACCGTAATATAATTATTAGAATGCACATATTTTCTTTATCTCCTTATACAGTAATTGAGGTGCATACAAGCATTATTTTTATCAAATCTGCTTTTATTTTAGATCTATGTCTAAATAAACTGTTATGGTGTGAAACGACTGGCAGAAACAGTGAAAAATCAGTGCTAAATGATCTCTTACGGTGCTAATTTGAGTCCAATTAACAGCATGCGGTGCTCTGTTGGACTCAAATTAACACTGTTGATTTAACACTGATGATTTTTCTGTGCAGAAATCATGTCCATCGTAACTGCCAAGGGGAAAAAAGCTGTTTCCCAGTTAAAGAGGCTATGAGTGACATTCCCTGTCTATTACTAAAGCCCTCAAAAGCCATATATATACACACCACCTCCTTGTTTCTACAGTCATTGTCCATTTTATCAGCTCCACTTACTATATAGGTGCACTTTGTAGTTCTACAGTTACAGACTGTAGTCCATCTGTTTGTCTGCATACTTTGTTAGCCCCCTTTTACCCTGTTCTTCAGTGGTCAGGACCCCCATGGACCCTCACAGAGCAGGTACTATTTGGGTGGTGGATCATTCTCAGCACTGCAGTAACACTGACGTGGTGGTGGTGTGTTAGTGTGTGTTGCGCTGGTGTGAGTGGATCAGACACAGCAGTGCTGCTGGAGTTTTTAAACACCTCAGTGTCACTGCTGGACTGAGAATAGTCCACCAACCAAAAAAATCCAGCCAACAGCGTCCTGTGGGCAGCGTCCTGTGACCACTGATGAAGGACTTGAGGATGACCAACACAAACTGTGCAGCAGCAGATGAGCTATCGTCTCTGTCTTTACATCTGCAAGGTGGACTGACAAGGTAGGAGCGTCTAATAGAGTGGACAGTGAGTGGACACAGTGTTTAAAAACTCCAGCAGCACTGCTGTGTCTGATCCACTCGTACCAGCACAACACACACTAACACACCACCACCACGTCAGTGTTACTGCAGTGCTGAGAATGATCCACCACCCAAATAGTACCTGCTCTGTGAGGGTCCATGGGGGTCCTGACCACTGAAGAACAGGGTAAAAGGGGGCTAACAAAGTATGCAGAGAAACAGATGGACTACAGTCTGTAACTGTAGAACTACAAAGTGCACCTATACAGTAAGTGGAGCTGATAAAATGGACAATGAGCGTAGAAACAAGCAGGTGGTCATGATGTTATGCCTGATCAGTGTAAATGTATACGTTATGCAACAGAACCACCACCAAATTCAAAACCAGCCCTTAAATAAATAATGACCAAGCTGAATTCTGTTCCGAAGGGACAAATTAAAGATGCTGTCGCTTCTGCTTCCAGCCTGCTTTGATAACATGAAAAGCTTCATGCCTTCACCAACCACAGAAACCAATTCCAAGAGGCTTTCTTTGAAACTCGAAGTACATTTCATCCTTGCAGTGCCGTCAAGTTTTAATGGATGTCTGCTTAACGTGCCTTCGTGCCACGTGTCCACATTTGGAAACTTTTATTCAGTGAGTTTTTTTGCACTGTTCTTCAAAGTCCGATATTAAAGTCTGTGAATTGTAAGGACTTTTAATACAGTGATTCATTCAGCGTCTTGTTCAGTGCATGTAATGAGTAACTCTCAGAGGCTCATTCAGGAATATAATGACAACATTCCCGTCTAATCTCACTCAGCAAGCCTCATGAATTGATTTTGATCTGCTTAAGAATCCTGTAAGTGTGAAACTGAATGAGCATTTCATTTATGAAGGCGAGATAACCGCACAGCTCTTTGTTTTGTGAGAGACGAGCACTTTCTCTTAAGGAACAAGAGCTTCAAAGGAATCTCATTTCATACCACTGCATATTGTTGTTCAGTGACTTTGTGACGTCTTGTATCCGAGCTTAACAAAGATGACTGAGGGATCCAAACTGTCTCTCCAGCCTGTTAAGCAGACTAGCGCTTGTTCTGTGGAGTTGATTCCCTGAGCCTAGTGTGTGTTCTGCGAGAGTAAAGCTGACAGACTCTGTAAGCCGCTTAGTTTTCCAGCACTTCGCAGCTGATCAGACTCCTGATTGCCTCGCTATGCCGCAAAGGTCTCAAGAGGCGAGTGATCGCGAACCTGCTTGCCCAAATTAAGTACCTCTGGTCCCCGGCGGTGAGCACGACGAACCGGAATGGTCCTGATATTAATAGCACCTGTAAATTCAGAGATTTAAGGCTCAGAGGAGTTTAAGCCCACCGCAGTTCCTGCCAAACGCCGCAGCTCTGTTAATCGCTCAGCTATACCCAAGGCTAACCGACTTTGACAGGTTTACTCAGGGCGGGCATCCCACAGCTAGGAGCACTGGGAAATCATGGTATAGAAGCAAGTTCATTATTATGTTTTTCTTGGGGAACTTTCTATGTTCTTTCAGGTTCTACAAACCTCAGTTTAAAAAATTAGGACAGTGTGTGAAATGCTAATAAAAACAGAAGCACATTTGCTTTTAACAGTAATCATTTAGGGACCGAAGACACCTTTTTAAAGTTAAGTTATTTACCCTTATTAGTCCCACAAGGGGGAGGTTTCACCTCCGCATTACCCACTAGTAAATGCACACACACTAGGGGGCAGTGAGCACACTTGCCTGGAGTGGTGGGCAGCCCTATCCACAGCACCCGGGGAGCAGTTGTGGGTTAGGTGCTCTGCTCAAGGGCACTTTAGCCACATATTGTTGACTTAGGGGATTGAACAGGCAACCTTCTGGTCACAAGGCTGGCTCCCCAACCTCCAGCCCACAACTGCCCCAAATACTGATTTGAAGTCAGTACTGAGTAAGAAGAATTACATTAGAGTCTCTACAAAAGCAGAATTCTTTGCCGTTCGTCTATTAAACAAGCCATGCAACTGAAAGAAAAATGTTCATATCTCACAGAGTGCACTATATAGGCAGAAGGGGTGGGGTTTGAGATTCAGCCTTAAGATTTTCCGAGCTCTGATCTTTAATATTGACCATTAATGGACTGTTTTTTATTGCAGTTTTCAGCGCTTTACCTGCTTGTTTAACTCTGAAACATTAAATGACCATTGGAGTTATCAGCTTTTATCAAAGAACAAAATTTAAATATCAATAAAGTTTTGTAAGTTACATGTATTTTATTAAGGTATTTTTCCATAATCAAAACAACCCACCTGCAGTTTGAGTCATATTACCTGGAATGCACAATGAAAGAACATGATTTATGAAAATAGATTAAAATGGAAATATCTGTTTTTGCAAATGAACTCAAATTTTTATAACTGTTGAATATTTTGCTGACTGCACTTTTCCTGGACGCTCCATTTATAACAAACCATGATTACATCGCCTGTCTAACCCTTCAAATGGTAAGGGACCTCCAGCCATCTTGGCATGTGCAATCAATGGCAGCATGCATTCATGAAAACGTTGCCATGGCGACAGCATCAATGGCAAAAATGAAGGAGTTGGAGGTGTTAATTGTTTGTTTAAGGTGGAAAGGGGCAGGAGGAATGTCCTGTATGCGGTTATTTTTGGTTGTATGATACTGGATGTGCCTGGAATGAGATGTTCAGAACCCATGACTTCCAAAAAAATCAACTTCTAGATGCAGTTTATGGCAAAAGTTGGGAAAAAGGAGCTCACGACTGAACGTTCTGCTGACCTCTGTGGTACGCTGCCACTGTGGGTAGCAAAATTTTCTGTCTCTGCTCGATTGAATACAGTGGAATGTCCAGTTTGCCATTGACCACTTAATGCCAACATTTATTATTTATTTATTTATTTTTATTTATTTATTTTACCTTAATCTAACCCTTAGGGGCCAAAGTTTTATTATACACCTCAATAAACTAAGAATAGCTCAACCATTTTGCATTGGAGTCCCTGTTGTACTGAATAAAACGCCTTAAGATGTAATAAGAGAGATTTTAAGAGGTTCTTACATTTCACAGCGTTCCTAGTTTTAAATTGCTCCATCTCAACTGTTTCAGACTGAGGTACAGGTATCATTTTCAAAAATAATGCATAATTACAAAAAAAATGTTTAAGTTGTAAGGTAAAACGTTAAGTACCTGGTCTTTGTTACTTTTTTAAATACAGGTCAGGGTGGATTTACAAATCGCTGCTTTCTGTTTCATTTGCATTTCACACACTCTTAACTTTTTGGGAATTGAGGTCTG